AAGGTAGAGCGCCGCCTCTTGACTGCGCCAGTCGGAAACCTCGCCACCAAATAGGGCCTGTGTTTGGCCAAACAGGCCGTCAATCGCCTTCTGGTTAAACCACTCACCCATCTTGATTAACAGATCCCCTGCAGCAGTTCGTGCGGTATAGTTGGCAGTCACAGAGGTCTCCTCAGCAAGATACAGGGAGCAGTCGATATCCCACAGGTCTTCTTCTTCCCGAGTCACTCGCGAATAACCAATAAGCATGTTCATAATCTCCTTCATCCAGGGAACTTCTGAAGCTGAGGCATGAGCATTGAGGTGGCCGTCCAGCTCGGCTTGCACAGGAGGGGCTCTGAAGCATTGGTTCAGGAAGTCCAATTCCTCGAGAATGAGAAAGTCCAAGGTATATGGAAGGTTGTCTGAGTCTTCAAGACGTCCTTGGGCATCCGCTTTGATATAGAGCTGCTCGTGCGGTCCCTGCAGAGTAGAGAGCTCTTTCCAGACCGCACTGAAGAAGATGGTACTTTGGGGAAGGAGCAGGTTAGGGAAAACGCGTCGAATTCGGAGGAGCGTCTTGACAACCTGAAGTTTGAGAGCGATAATGTGGCTCCAAGAGTCAGGCTGAGATCCGCTCTCTAGATTGGCTTCTGGAAGAGGGCTCTGTAGAACGGTAATAAAGAAGGGGTTCCATTGTTGAAGAAGACCGTCCGCAAAAGCGCGAACCTCCTTAGCGTGGTCCTCCTTAATCATATTGAGGAGATCAAAACATCCTCGGAAGATGGAAATAGCGAGCGCTCGGTGCATGGGCTTTCGGTTTTCATTGAGGGCGACCTCAGCAAGGGCCTTGGCAATATCTTGGGCCATTGAAAAGAACTGGTCCTCGCTCAAACTCTCTTCAATTATATCGTTGAGTAATCGCAGGGCGCCGTGAAGCTGTGAATCGGTGCCGGCCGGGACGACAGAGATAACTGTGGGGAGGAGGTTTGGCCATTGCTCGGGGAAGTCGTGGACGGCGATTTTGCCAACGGCGTAACTGGCTGAGATCTTGACTTTGCGATCATCCTCCGGGCTCAACACAAGGTCGAGCAGGACCTGCTTGAGCTGGCCTCTCGCCTCATCAGAGATAGGGATGATAGGTCCGTCATCAGGCTCATCGTTGCTCCAGTTGTTCTCGATAAAAAGTCGCAGGTTGCTCAGTGCAGCCTGACGGATGTTGGTATCAATCGAGGTGTGGGCGGCGATATTTGCGAGAGACAGGGGAAAGGCGGGATTCGTTCGAGCGCGCTTCAACTCGAGTTCGGCCTGTAGCCTGGGACCCTGTTCGGACAGCTGCGTGCTGGAAAGAAGCTGTACCAACTGGTCCTCCATGATTGTATAGGACTTTGGTAAATAAAGAGGTTTGGATGAAATAGTTAGAGAAAAAAAAGTTGAGGTTGGCGGGGAGAAAAGAAGCGGAATTGACGATGATGGTGGGGGAGAAACAAAGTGTGGGTCTAACACTACCTAGAGCTTGAGGCAGGAAAGGCCAAGGGGATGAAAGAAAACTTAGGACCTTTATGCTAAGGAACAAAAAGACTCAGGTAAATTTAGTATAACTTAGTAGAAATTTAGTAGACCTTAGCTTACCTTAGATTAGGTATTTTTGGCCCTTTGATTTAGCGTCGGGCATTTTCTTGCTCCCACGAGCAGGAAGAGTGCAGGTCGTGCTTCTTAGAAACACCTTTTGTTCTTTTAAATCGATATAGAAGAAAGTGCCGAGAATTTTTAGAGTAAATCGATACCTGCCCTGATTTCCATGGAACCAGGTAGCTACTAAATTTATCAAATTGCCTTATTAAGTTGTGGCCTAGGGATGAATTCTCGCAACTCTTCGGCACTCTCACCTCAATTGATACTACTCAAATCGCGGGGCAAGCTATTGGTCCATTCACGTGTTCCTCTGTTGTTTTTCTTTGGACCCCTTTACCTGATGTTTGAACTGTAGCCTTGGCTACTGGGCTAGGGGAGGGAAAGAGAACTCGGGACCTTGACTCTACCTAGAGGATAAAAAGATTTAAGTAACTTACCTAGTATAAATTTAGCCCAAGTTTGGAGTACCTCCTGCTGAGTTTATTTTGACATCCTATATCAAGGCCTGATGTTTTCCTGTTCCCTCAGAGCTGGGCCATGACACAAGCAGAGTCTCGGAATGTCGGCAGTCATCATCGTTAAAGAGCAGCTAGCTACCTTAGCTTCTCCATGTAACTTCTCCTTGACGTAGGGTATCCAGTTTGTCTAGAAATGGGCCCCTGTAGCTTGATGCTGCTGTAGATGGTGACGCAGCATAGGTCGAGTCCAATCATAGGTCTAAACTTTCTATCATATTATGAAGATCCCCATTATATGGAAACTCCAATAGCGATCTTTCCGATGTTCTCTGGGATACGAGTGTCATACTAAAATCCAAATCGTGCTTGGAAAGGCTTACCCTATGGCAGCAGTTCCACGATAAAGATGGTCGGTTTTCAAGTGACTTAGCATAAGATCTGGACACTCCTGGTAGCATAAGATAGTTAGCTGACCTCGATTTCAATATCCAGTCTTTGAAATCTTTATGGTCATGTCTATAAGTCATGTCGCTCGAAGTATCTAATAGACTTTACATTGCGGAGACTCGGCCTCCGCGCGTGATAGATCTCAAGATGCTTTGTGTAAGTAGGATCTTGGTTTCTTCCATAATTGCAAAATGGCTATACTTGGCCACTATAATATATCGCTTTCTGACCCAATTTCGTGGTATTTGTGTCCGTTATTTGAGAGAGAAAAACTCTTCAAATCGTATGAGGTCGTTTACTCTGCCCCATCGGATAAGTGAGTTTACAAAGTTTACGGGCCGATGACAGATTTACAACTAATGCCGTTTTCGTTATCTCTGAGTGATTCCGAGACGGTGACGGAGTTGAAGTCGCGTCTGTGATTTCCATCAAGTAATACTTGCGTATCAGACGCATTGACTGTCAATGTTCCTTGATATACGAATGCCGATCCAAAACCGAAGATTTGCAATTACTGGCTAACTTTTCTGGAGAATGCAGCTCGTGAGGAACTGAATCATACTATGTATGCATGGGCCGGGGACTTGTTCAAGTTAGTCTTGTTGCTACTCTGCCTCGGTGTTACTTGGATTTCTAGATGCTAGATGTACCGGCATGACTCTGCCATCGGTTAGGCCATGTCAGTCCAGAATAGATCAACCATGCCATTTGGGAGAACTGAAAGCAGTCCCGAAGAACACAATTTCATTTGGGACGGGGCGTGTTATTTGCGACCAGGTCGTTATTAATCTAACCATACGACGTAAAAACGGCGAACTTTCGGGGCAATATGAAGCTAAAAAGGGTCATCGCGAGGTGATGCCAGAAACGGGAACAAGGATTCTTATGCCGATATCAACCAGAAGGAGAACCAACACATCGAACTTCAGATGGAGAGGGGTCCAAGAGAGAGAGATCAGGCAGTAGAGTTTCGGTTAAAACCCGAAATGACCTAAGCTGTTGACAACGAGATCGCATTTCAGTGACTACTACGTGGATGAAGTTCGAGATAGTCCTGATAGGGCAGATAACTGCAGGCCTGGGCACTTTTACTATAAAAGAGACGGTTGACTCGATGAGATCGAGTAACAGATTTGTTCTGCAGTTCCAGGCTAACTCGGTTTGGGAAAGGCGGTACGGTACCCGTATCTTAGACGCATCGTTGTGGTGATAAGGAAACCGAGTTGGCCAATGATATTGCTTCGTTTATATCCGCCTGGGGTAACTGACCCTCCGATGGGTTGGCTCCTGCTCACATGGCGCTGATAGGTAGTGGCTGCAGTTGCATTTTCTGCAGAGCATCTTTCTTAGGTAGGTAGGCCCAGAATTTCAAGAGGAGTACGTACCGTCCGTCTGCACTGCAAACCTCTGTCTCTATGTTTTGTTTTGTTTCTCTCTTGCAACAAAACAACAGCAAATATTCGAATTCAGCCTTGGTGCATCTCTCATATACAAAGCGACATCGGGGTCTCTTCCTAACGTCTCCATCAACATTACCCGGAAACACCTTCCAGCAACCACCCATACCAAGTATTGCTCCTTGGATTTAGGGTCTCATGTGGGGGCGCGCACCAAAACACGACTTGGCTTCTCGGGCCCCATTTTCGTATCCATGTCACTCGAATCATCTCTCCGCATCCGCGCATCGTTCTATTCTATGCCGAATAACATACGTACCATTGTACTTTGATCATATTCGGATGGATACCTATGAACGTTTCGACTTTGTTGTTGCGTGATGGTCTTACCATGCAGATCCTTCTGCTTTTCAAGGTTTGAATATCCGAATCTACAAACCGTCACAAATTGGTCGTGTGCTCGATGAAACGACAAACAAATACCGACCGGAAATGCAAAGTTCTCCCAGTGCCAACATGGGGAAGAATAACCTTTCTCAGCTTGACCTACTACGGCAAGAAGTGGCCGCCGGCGAAGGCCCTTGCGTGGTATGTTCCTTGCCGGCTAGTTATCTGCAACGGCTGGGTCTGGGGATGAAGATCAGACTGATAGTGGCTACTGAGCGCTGATAACCTCGAGCCAAGATGGGGTCGCTCTAGTTCCTCTTGTCAACGCAACCGTAACGCAGCCAACGCGGTATGTCTCTCAAACCATAAATATAAATACTGCCTGTCACCCACTACGACCAGACTCTCCAAGACAAGAAGACGGTGGAGAAGTTCCAATTGGTCCCCTCTCATCCTTCAGCAAGACTACCATCTCACGTTCTTCCATCATTTCTTGTGTCATTGGATTTAATCCCAGTCTGCCATCCCTACTTGGTGTCACCTACACGTCATAAGCACCTCGAACAAGGCCTACCTATCACAATACAAAAAGTCTATCTTACTTTTTGAGTTTCTTTCAGATCCAAGCATCCGAAAGCTTTTTGATACCCGTTACTGGCTTATACTTCCACCTCCCACCTCGTCATACACCTCAGCCATGGAGACCAGATCACGATTTAAGGTCTGGGCTGATAAAGTCGCCGTTGAGTCTGAACCTGGCTTGACCAAGACCCAGCTTATGGTATGAAGGCCTCGCAAGCTTCAGCTTGTCATTATGAGACTGAGTTGTACTGAACTCTTATGCAGCTTACGAACCATGATCTCAAACCTGTCGAGGTGGAGCGCCGACAATGGGGCCCATGGAACTTTGTTGGTTTCTGGATCGCCGATTCTTTCAACATCAACACTTGGATGATTTCATCGTCCATGATTGTCAATGGTCTGTCATGGTGGCAAGCCTGGCTCTGTGTCTGGATCGGATATAGTATCACTGGTATCTTTGTGGCAATCAATGCTCGTTTCGGTGCCATGTACCACATTGGTTTCCCTGTTGCCAACAGAACCTCCTTTGGTATCTGGGGTAGTTTGTGGCCTGTGCTGAACCGTGCTGCTATGGGTATGCTCTATCTTTCCCAACACAATCAGAATCCATTACTAACACATGACAGCCTGTGTATGGTATGGAGTGCAGGCTTACATTGGTGGTGATTGTATCTATCTCATGATCCGCGCCATCTGGAAGTCATGGGCCAATGTTCCCAACACTTTCAGCGAAGACTCGGGCACCGATACCGCACACTTCGCTTCCTTCTTCATCTTTTGGCTTGTATCGCTTCCAGCACTCTGGTTCCCTGTCCACAAGGTCCGACATCTCTTCACTGTCAAGGCATATGTTGTTCCCGTGGCTGGAATTACCTTCCTGGCCTGGACCATCTCGCGCGCCGGTGGTATTGGCCCCATTGTAAAGGCAGGTAACAAGGTCCACGGCAGCGACTTGGCCTGGGAAATGGTCAAAGGCATCATGTCTTCTATCTCCAACTTTGCGACACTCATTGTCAATGCCAGTGACTTTTCTCGATTTGCGCAGAAGCCAAGAGACGCCCTCTGGCCCCAGATGATCACGATCCCCTTTGGTTTCGCCATCACTTCATTCATCGGCATCATGGTCTCGTCAGCTTCTTCCGTCCTGTACGAGGAGGCCATCTGGAACCCCCTTGACCTTCTGGACAGATTCATCGACGATGGAAGTTCGGGTGAGCGCTTTGGTGTTTTCTTCATTGCTACATCCTTCGCCCTCGCTCAGTTGGGCACGAACCTCGCGGCCAACTCCGTAAGTGCTGGCACTGACTTGACTGCTCTTCTTCCTCGCTGGCTCAATATTCGTCGTGGAAGCTACATTTGCGCCATCGTTGGCCTGTGTATCTGTCCTTGGCAGCTTCTCAAGGATAGCAACCAGTTTACAACCTACCTTTCAGCCTACAGTGTGTTCCTGAGCTCAATCGCTGGTGTTATGGTTTCTGATTACTACATCGTGCGCAAGGGCTACGTTGATACCAAGGAACTCTATGATGCTCGAAAAGAAGGACCGTACTACTTCACAGGCGGTTTCAACTGGCGTGGCTATGTTGCTTATATCGCCGGAATTGTCATCAACGTGGTCGGTTTCGCCGATGCTGTCGGCGCCAAGAACGTTCCTCAGGGCGCGATCTATATCTATCAACTCAACTACTTCTGTGGTTTCATCGTTTCATCAATGATGTACTGGGCCCTATGTAAAATTTCACCAGTTCCGGCGACCAGCGATCGATGGATGGAGGTTGGTGATGAGATCGATGACATCCGAGTCGCTTATAACTCGAGAACTCCATCATATGACGAAGAGATTGCAAGGAGCGAGGCGCCAAAGGCAGCAGACGAGACGAAACATTTTTGATTTCAGGCATGTAAAAATGGGGGCTCAAATATGGGGATATGATTATTATAACGATTGTTGTTGATTTCGAGATAGTTAAATGTAGCTGCTGCTGCTGCTGCGCGACTAATGAAGATGTGGTTTCGAACCAATTGGCTTTTCTACACCTTGGGGTCCCTTAAATGGTTGTTCCTTATAGCATACTCAACTCCGTAGGGACTGCCAGGCCAGAGCCCTCTGCCAAGTTCAACAACTTACAATACTACTATGCTATGTTCGTTCAGTGGATTCAAGCACCTACAACTATTCCCAAATTCTGTTCGCTGCGGAGCTTCTTAGACTTCACTCCTGAGCTGGTTACACAAGCCCCGTTGGCTCAGTGGTAAAGCGTATCACTAGTAATGATAAGATCACTGGTTCGATTCCAGTACGGGGCAACATACAACCACTCAGGGCGTTCAAGCGCTTCAATTTTTGCTCGGTCTTGGAGCTTAGTTGATCTTGCGAGCTTGACTTAGGTACTTTGACTTTTGGCGTTGTGTAATAACAGCGGGACGGCACGCACGCTTATTTGATTTAAGGTTTATGCAGGATGATGTCACATATGCAAGCTCTTCTCAACATCTCGATGTGATTGCAGAATGCAATTCAACAACTTTGACATAGAAGATAATTCAAAGGTGTTGAGCACTTCCATATATTGTCGTCAGACAGCAGTGGCACTGCTGAGCTTAAGACATTCTCCAGGGCAAGTACCTTATGCAATATGCTGCAGACCTTTGAGATGTTATTAATATGCGCAGATATGAGGCTCTGTCCGCATTTGCAACAAGCAACAAGCAACATGCAATGACTTTATATCATCTGTCGCTTTATAGTGCGTTCCCTGTCGATCACTTTTGGACTTTCGTTCAGCAAGAGAAATACTTCAATACTTCCAGTACATATTAAAGTTAGGAGGTGCTACCAAAGTGCCACATGCAACTAAGCAAGGCCACCGCCAAAAATAGAAGCAGGTGCCTCAACACCACCATGAAGCCATCGCGACCATGAAAAAGGATGAATACTCATCAGTACCGGCAAAAGATGACTTTGCTGAAATCACTTGCCCCGTACTGGAATCGAACCAGTGATCTTATCATTACTAGTGATACGCTTTACCACTGAGCCAACGGGGCTTGTGAGGTGATTCCTCGCTTGTCGAAGGACGGCGACTGAGTTGGGATTTATATTCCTGACGATGAAAAGAGTATGGAAATAGAATACTGCCAGTTTGGGTTTGAAGCGAGGAGAGTATAGGTCGTACAGAAACATAAGAAGAAGAATGGGAATGTGGAAAACGCTGTTATTTGTGGAGGATGGGCAAACTGGCTGGGTGATTGCGTCATACATACAAATCAACCCTTGTCCCGTGTAAGCTTGATTACATGGTCTTCACATTTACTTGTCACCGATGCGCCATGACTCAGAAATCGCAAGACAGGCGGTGACCAGGAGAACAAAAAAGATTAAAAGGTACTGGATGCTTGCTTCATACTCCTCTGAGATATCAAGAGCCGTTAAAACTCAAAGATTTTGGGATAATGTACCTATACAGTACTCCATAGGTAGTTAGGTACTTACTTATGTGCACGCACATGTCTACCTATCTTACAGATAGTATCAATCAAAATACTGATGCTGCATGTGCCTCATTGTGGAAATGTAGAAGGAACTGTTTAACAAGTCAAACAAAAGGCACATGAGGGTTGCATAAAATTCATCAGACAGTTGGTAGATAATAACCTAAGGTAATGATTCCCTGTACGGATACCGGGGGCCGGACTGGTATTTGTTGCCGTCTTCCGAGCGTCCCGTGTTATGTGGGCTTCTCTGGGATCTGTACCCTCTTAATACTGCACATAAAGGAATGAAACACTGTCTATACTAGAGTTATCTATTGACCTATTGTTAGAGGAGTTTTCGTGCTAAAGCTCATTTTGCATAGAATTTGAACAAATAGATATTTCAGACGTGGAAGCTGCAGGATTGCACCACAGATCTCATAAACTGATATTCAAAAAGATACCCCACATGCTCAATGAATAGACCCAACCGCGGTGAAGCTCAGGTGTAAAACGAGTCAATGTTACATTAAAGTGGTCAGTTGACACGAGAACTTCGAATGCGGGATTAATGTTCCATGAAGTTTCGACAGTCTGTTATCTGTTGCTATCAATATCTTGGCTTCCACTTACACGGCTTGGGCATGTTTGATGGATTAAATCGAATTGCAGCTTGAACCAATTCTCGAAACTTCAGCCGTAATTATGTGTTTCAGAATATATCTGACGATAAATGACGTCTCATGTTCTGCAATAACGACAAAATGACGGAGAAATGAAGAGATATTTTGACTTCGTGATTGATACTGACTTCAACTGACACTAACATGGAGTAAAGAAATGGCATATTTTGGGGGACTCCACCGCTGCGGATCATTGTCCGGCCCGCCTCAGCCAATACGATACCCCGCCAAATGATTTGTGGTCGCCCAAAAAAATGACCGATATCGTCGTGACCAGAAGAGAAAAATTTTCCCGTAGGTTTCACAAACAAACTGGTACAAGTCTAACTCTTGTTTGGGTGTAAGAACACTCGATCCCTCTTCAACCTCTACACGAACCATTTCCGTGACACGATATTCAACATGTGTGGTGTTTCGGCCATTTTGGTGAGTCTTCAATCTTCTGTTCTTCTCTCTATTGCCCCTCCCCCGCGCTCATAGAAAAAAAGAGACCCTTGCCCGTGCTCGGACTTGGGACGGAAGTGCTACCAAAAGAGTTGAAGAAATGGAACACAACATAATGTCACATATCATGTACTGACAATCTTTGATAGCTAGGTGACCAGGAGGCTACCTCCGCCGCCATTGATCTCCACGAGACATTGTATTATCTCCAACATGTTAGTCTTCCATCGCGAATATCCCGAATCCCGAAATTCGATATCTACGGATATTAACCAGCCATAGCGTGGACAAGATGCTGCAGGTATCGCTGTTTGCCAGGGTGGACGAGTTTCTCAATGCAAGGGTCTCGGTATGGCCAGCAAGGTCTTTTCCGATGGCCGAAGACTTGAGCATCTCCCCGGTTACATGGGTATGGCAATGCGATGCACAGATTACACGGAGACTGACTCTCCATAGGCCTGGGCCACGTTCGTTACCCTACCATGGGAACTGCTTCTGCGTATGTGTTACTGGGCACACAATCTCGTACACTACTGACCAAAAATGCGACTACAGCTCCGAAGCTCAACCTTTCTACGTCAACGCTCCTTTCGGTATCTCCATGAGCGTCAACGGTAACCTCGTCAACACCGAATACCTCCGCAAGTTCCTCGACGAGGAAGCCCACCGACACGTCAACTCCGATTCCGACTCAGAGCTCCTGTGCGTAATCGAAACTCGCGCTGATTCGAACCACGATGACTGATTTGTACCAATAGCCTCAACATCTTCGCTCACGGCCTCCAGCAGCTCGGCAAGACTCGCGCCAACTCGGAGGATATCTTCACTGCTCTCGGTGATGTCTACGCCAAGTGCCAGGGCGCTTTCGCATGCACTGCCATGATCGCTGGTTTTGGCATTCTTGCCTTCCGGTGAGTTGTCGCCGTTTTAAACGACTTCTTATCAAAGACTGACAATTCTCAGTGACGCCAACGGTATCCGACCTCTTTGCATTGGTTCTCGACCTTCCGCCACACTCCCAGGTACTGAAGATTACCTCGTTGCCTCCGAATCCGTTGTGCTGAAGCAGCTCGGCTTCTCGAACATTGTCGACATCCTCCCTGGTCAGGCCTGTTTCTTGCAGAAGGGATGTGCCCCCAAGTTCCGTCAGATTATCAACGACCGCCCTTACACGCCCGATTGCTTCGAATTCGTATACGTTGCTCGTCCTGACTCAACCATGGACGGAATCTCGGTGTACCGCAGCCGACAAAACATGGGAGAGAAGCTGGCCAAGAAGGTCCGTGCGGTTCTCGGAGAGAAGGGAGTTCAAGAGATTGATGCAGGTATGAGCTCTCCATATGTTTTCTGCCTTTGAACTGTACTAATGATTTCCAGTCATTCCTGTTCCAGAGGTATGCCGAGTCTTGGAGGCATGATGTGCGTGAAAACGTGAAAGGCTGACTCATTATCAACAGACAAGTAACATCGCCGCTGCTACTCTTGCTGAGAAGCTTGGCAAGCCATACGTCACAGCTCTAATTAAGAACCGATATGTTCAACGAACCTTCATTCTTCCCAACCAAGCTCTTCGAATGAAGAGTGTTCGCCGCAAGCTTTCACCTATCGACTCAGAATTCCGCGGAAAGAATCTCATCCTAGTGGACGACAGTGTCGTGCGTGGCAGTAAGTAAACTTTATTACATCCAATGATCAATACTAATTTGGAAATTAGCTACATCCGGACAAATCGTGAGCAAAATGATGATGAATTTGTCTATGAGATAGAACTAATGGGTGAATGCAGGTTCAAATGGCCAGAGAAGCTGGTGCTGCTAAGGTTATCTTTGTTTCAGCATCTCCAGAGTGCATATATCCCCATATCGTAAGTTTTTACACCGGCATGGAATATTGAGCATATTACTAACAATATTGAAGTATGGTATCGATCTTGCGGATCCTGTTGGTATGAAGATGTTTGTTCCTGTTCTTAGGCTGTCTTGTTACTAACCTTTGTGAAGATTTGGTTGCTCATGGCCGAACAAACCAACAAATTGCCGACTACATCGGTGCTGACCAGGTCATATTCCAAGATCTTGATGGACCTGATGGTCTGAAGGCTGCGTGTATGGAGGCTGCTGAGGACACAAGTAAGGTCACGAGTTTTGAAACGGGTGTCTTTAGTGGATGTTATGTCACAGAGGTGCCGGAAGGATACTTCGAACATCTCAGTGATCTCCGTAGCGGCAAGCGGAAGGCGACCACCACCTTGACGACCATCAAGGCTGGTGGTGATGAGGGCGGAAACGTAGTTGTCAGCTCTGGGCCTACAAATGGGCCTGAGGCTGATGAGCGAGAAGATATTAGGTCAGTCTCTACCAAGGGCTTAGTGAGTAACGTCTGCTGACACGATTTCCAGTCTTCACAACATGGCAAGTGAACAGATCACAACCTCATAGGTGCTGGGTATGAGGTACAAGAGTATTTGAATAATGGAATCATACTCGCGCTTGGAGCAAGGCATTGCGCTGGAGAAGACGAATGAGTCTCAGTACGGGCTTAGAAATGGAATTCAAAGACGGAAAATAGAATGGCATGTGAGAAGATTATCTAAGATGCCACGAAAAATAATATAGCCGGCAGGGCTGCCAACCAGCTGTGAGCAAGAGTACGGTCATGGAGTTACAGCCTTGGCTGACAGCCCTGCGAGGCATGAGGATACTAGAGATGCCGCGAGGCCTAGATGGGTACGAGATTACGAAAAGCCAAATTTAGAAGCGTTGTTTGAACTATTGCTTGACCAATTGCTGCTATATCGAAATGGGTGATTTGTTGATAGACATTTTACCACCGCCATATTTTGAACTCGACTCCTAGATTTCGGCAATTGAAGGGACTATATTCACCTTGAGTGGATTGGAATAAGCATCTTCGGTATGGGTGAAACTAGAGGGATCAGAACAACGCATGATGTGTTCTCCGGTTTTCTAATCCAGGGTCCACGAGAGTCTGGAGTTGAATCACTCCACTGTACCCGCCATCACCAGTTTTTGCAACTCGGATCCATAAGATGTAGACCTAGTGGAATAAGTACGGTGAGCAAGGTGAAGAAATCCAAGTATCGTGAAGGTTAGTTGGCATTTTCGGTGGAGTTGTTGCAAAGGTGGGAGGAGCCTCATGAGGAGAAAGTCAAGGTTTCTCCATCAAAACAGACCCATGTCAGAGGATTTCCCTGCTAGAACCTTGCTGGCGTTTAGAACTGTTTTTCTTGGCTGAGGAGGGGAGGATTCGCTAGTTGTTTTAGTTAGTGGCCTTGTTAGTTACTGTGGTTGGAGATGGTTGGAGAGAGTTTCAATCGGAGAAGCCAGATTTCATATTGACTAAATTCTTTGACTAATGTAATTTTTGTGAGAGAATAGAATTATTCAGGTTACCCTAGTCAGAAACCACGAAAGAGATGCATGCCGTTATTATAGGGCATTGGGGGAGTCTATGCTAAGGCAAGGCAAGGCAAGGCAAAGCGAGGTAGGATGCGGATCATACCTTAGGTTAGTACTTAGATAGTGCCACGGGCGGTTCATATGCTCCGTAGCAGGGGCTACATCACGATCTCCAACGCATCATACAAAGAACAGACAGACACATCAGGATTAGTCTACCCCTCACAAAAAGAAGGGAGGGAAAAGAGGGAAAAGAAAAAAGAAGACAAAAAGAACAAGGCTTCGAAGAACAGCTGGTTTCCAAATTGGGCAACACTGTCACCTCTGGCTGGACGTGATTGCGCTGAACCCACAACGACAAGCTTTCTGCGGACTCTTGTAGGAGCTTTGTAATGCAGGTCCCGGAGCTCGGCTGCACGGTATGTATTTTCGTTGCCTTTTTGGGGAGGAATAGCATCGGCCATAGTCGGGAGATCTGACAGCGAACGTGGGGCTTCTGGTTTTTTTCTTCTTGCTTTCCAGAGGGAGAGCGAGGTGAGGCGGGCATTGTATTCATTGGGGATCATGGTATGGATCACGGAGAGGGAGAGGGATATATTGGGTGTGCCCAGCTATACAATCTACATACGTACTATTCCCAAATGCTTGATGCTAATTATTGTCAGCTCTTATTGGAGCCGAGTCATGAGATCTGCTCTTAGCATAGACTAGTCGAATCAGTACTAGATTATATATGTTAGTTAGTGGATGGCCTGTCAGTTTTTATTCATGTCGGTTGGACGGTAAAGTTGGGTTGGGTTGGTTTATAAGATGGATTTGCACACCCTAGACTCTATGTTTGTACAGTATCCATACTCCGTGCCGTGTGACTATCTCCATGACAGACTCTCAATTAGTTTCGTCTAAGAAAGTTCCATAACGTGGGTGGCTCGAGCTGCTGATCTTTCCAGGTTGATCTGGGTATGGACGGGACGGATGTTCTTCTCCAATTTCTAAAAAAGGTACCGAAGAAAGAGCTGGCTGACATGGTCTTTCCTACCTACCAGAACCTACCTTACTTAGTCTGACGTAGGCTCAATGTTCTTTCCTCCTGATCTTACCTTATTCCCATCCCAACCCGCACCCTTCCTTCCATTTACCCCTCTATGTTCCAATTGTGCCATTCCATCCTCGTCGTCGTGCCTTCCTTGTACCGAGTTAGTTAGTTAGCACCTACCTCCATTTCTACAATACTCCGTCCGTACTAGTTTTCCATAATAATAACTCCATTACATTTCTTTTCCGTCACAATCTTTTCCTATTCATCATCATCCTCATCACTATTACTATTACTGTCGCTGTCACCAAAACTTAAACTCCTCCCTACCCCTCACTTACACCCACGGCAACGATATCCTCTCTTTGTATTAAGAGTCCACCATGAACCTTCTGTAACGACTCGCTCGTTACATCCAAACCGCTGTCTCGCCCGCCACAAAGAGCTCGAGCACGACCTGGACCTAGTGAAATCATAGGACTTGACTGACCTTCCAGTCCAGTCCAGTCCAGTCCAGCGCAGCACACAAGACACCCTCTGTAGCTGTCAAGCTGCTCTGTCAGCACCCGGCGCATGCCGCCAAGCAACACCAAACCGTGTCACAACTGCCGTCGTCGACGCCTGCGCTGCGACCGCTCATGGCCGACATGCCACAAATGTGCGGTCTCAGGGCAGGAATGCCTCGGGTATGGCAAGGTCTTCGTTTGGACCCAAGGAATTGACTCCCACGGCAATGTCAATCCCCCTCCCGGCCGGCGACTACCCGACGAATCTGATGCTTCCACCTCTGTATCACCTACTGGCCACCAACAGGGCCAGGGTCAGCATGATCGCGCTCGACCTCAGCCTCAACCAGACTATAGCGACCAACATCCGCTGGCGCGCCTGGTTCAGCAGGCCCAGCAGGCCGCCCAAGAGGCAGAAGAGATGAATCAGCAGCAGCAACAGCAAAGGCAACACCAGCAGCCAACCCCGCCAGGTTCTGAGGACGCCCCTTCACACGATCGTAGCATACCCTGGCCTTCTCCTGCTGCACTTACAGACCCGTTGTTCCAGGACCTTGACCGCACATCACGATACTACCTAGCGCATTGTAAGTCTTGGCTCTAGTTTTGGTTCTTTTTCTCCCCCTCTTGGCCGATGCTAATGAGTGCCCCAGTCAGCGAGAGGGTCTGCAAAGATCTTGTGGTCCGAGACACGCCTGAAAACCCGTTCCGTGAGCTGATACCCTTGACGCGGAAGCACCCGCTCCTCTTGCAGATTCTTGTTGCCACTTCGGCGATCCATTGGTCCAACATATTTCGTCGTGTTACCGAAATACCGGCAGGCCTCACCAATCCCGCGGGCTATCTTTCCCTGCTACGTTCAAAAGATCTTGTGACACGACAGGCTCTCATCGATGCCTTGACGGCGAAGCAAAAGGCCATGAGCCACATGAGGGAGGTGCTCGATACCCTTGACCCGGCAGGCAGTGAGGTGGCATTAGCTGCCATGCACTTTTTTATCAAGTTTGACTTGATTGATCTGGATAAGTCAGACAACCAGAGCTGGAGGGCCCACTTGGAAGGCGCCACAAGCATCATGGCATTGCTCAACCCGGATAGTAATCCCGACGCATCTAGTAGAATGTTGCGGGACCGTGTCATTACTGACAGCTTCATGTAAGTCCGTCCTAGCCACTGGTGTACTCGCAGTGGATACTGACTTTTGAAAGCTACAACATTCTGGGCTCGACGTTGACATCTGGTGGCCTTGCAGCTCGTGTTGCACGGCAAGCTTTCCAGTTCTTACCCGTTATGAAGCGTGTGGAATTGACAAGCTACTTGTCTTGTCCTCCGGAGATTCTGAACATCATTCTTTCTGCATCCGAGCTGTCCCACGAAGTGCCCTGGACAGACCAGTCTCTAGGTGCGGCAGACAAGGCAATTGCTCTAATAGACGAGGCTCTTGCTGTAGACATTCCAGCTTGGGCAGACTATTTACGGCAACACAACCTTGTTCAGGATCTTGAGAGTCGAGTGTGTCTAGCTGCGGCACACCGGTCAGCAGCTTGCCTGTACATCCTCCAAGCGCTACCGCTAGTTCGGTCTGTACGGTCCATTGACACCGATTTCCTGCTGGAGGACGTTTTGAGAAATTTAGCCGCCATCGATGAGAATGACCCATACTTCAAAGCATCGTCATGGCCGACTTTTGTTGCAGGGGCCGAGACACGAGACCCTGAAAAACGCACTTGGACCCTGGCACGGCTGTTGTCGATTTGGCAAATCTGTCCATGGGGGTATCTCTTCACGGCAATTGAAATGCTCAAAGCGACATGGGCGATGCAGGATTCGCGCGGCTCAGATAATGTCAACTGGCTACATGATCTACGGGGGATGGGATTTGAGAACTTGATTGTTTGATCTGACATGATATGATATGATGTTGTTGTTGTGTTTTTTGTTACAGGGTGTGTACACTGGATCCAGTCCATACGTACTATACTGCCTGTCACTGCGGTGTGTTTTAGTTAGCGTCGAGCGAAAAGTTGTGTCGAGTTGAGACTTGTGCTTCATCCTAAGGTTCATTTCAGTTCGGTTGCAAGCTCGGAGTTAAAGTAGTAGCTAATAGGTTAGAGGAACGCCGCGTGTCTTTTTTGGCCAGCTGTCCATGGTGCAGTGCTAGAGAGAGAATAGAGGGTGTTTTGGGCGCCGGGAAGGGTCATTTCGCAATTGCCGGTTCTAGACTGATCGAATCTCACGATGGCTTCACCGATTTCAACCAGGTACTTTTCTAGCTTAGCTACCTTACCTCAGGACACGGGATTTATCAGCAGACCCACCATTCATACGACACTGAGTTGGATGCTGGTAGCTTTTGTAAGATGTCACTTGACATTTATCCTTTGTTGCTTGACTTGTTCTTGAGCTACTTGTTGTGTTTCGAGTCCCGATTACAGAGGCCCCGTTCTATCGTCTACGGCGCAAATCGGCCCTGCAACTCTGATTTGTCCAACGCTCAGATGGATCTGACAAGTCCATCGTGGTTAAGGGTCAGGGTCCTGGTCCTATAGAGTCAGTCCCCACTGAGTAGAAGAACTAGAAGCATGCAGCTTGTCCAAAGTAGGTTGAGCATGAAATCTCGGCCGAAACACCTGACCTTCTTTTTGGCGCCTGCGAGAATCGCCTATTCTAGGCTGGCCCAGGTCGTTGTTGAGCGAAATAAACGGCGTCGGTTACGCCTACACAACACACGTGGAGGAAGATATGGGCTCCCGACTCTCGTGTTACAAAGCAAAACGTAAACGTGGGTGACACGGCATAGTTGTCATGTCAGATTCCTCTTTTCTCCTTACCCCTCAGATCTGAACCGAACCCAGAACTGAGATTGGATGAGGGGTGTGCATTACATTGCATACAGTACTCTGTTGGCTGTAGGTATCAGTTAGTAGGTCAGTATAAAGTTTCCGCTTACACAGGGGAGAGACATCGAAACTTGCATGAGCAGCGAGCGATAACGGAATCACATAGTCAAAGTGGAACCAGAAGTTGTGCAACCACGTTTCTTCACCTTCACTTTGCATATAATGAATGAATAGGTCCAAAGGGAATGGATAAGAGCGAGGATAAGATCTCAAACAGAGCTATTCCCATTGGCGGGTCTTATACTCCGTATGTAGGTAGCCGGACTAGCGATGCATGTTTCCTAGATAGAAATCCTCTTTTAATAGTAATATGTGATGATACAACATGGCTAGCAGGTCCAGGAGAACTGCTTACTTTCCTTGACGCTGATAGGGTATTCTATCCAAGTGATGTGACGGATTGCGTTGCTTCTCACTCGAGAAGACAGTAGACAGCCGTTCCTTGATATGAAGCAGTGGTCTGGTATGAGATAACAATATGAACTTGCTAGATCCAAACAGACTTGCAACTTCAATCGTTAAAAATAGATGACGCGTATTTGTAGCCTCGATAGCGGTTGTAAAATCAACCTCGCTGCCAATGACAGGCAGGGGCTGGGCAAAGCAGGCTCAGATCTACCGATACTGATACTACCGTAGTAGAGACTGCTATACGGCAGTGATCCGCTAGCTATCAATGCCTTGTCGAGTCTATTCTACTCAATTCTCTTTAATGCCATCAAAATTGAACAAGAACTTGTCCGTAAAAGCCATGAGTATATCTATGAGCCTACCTTACCTCTCACTGGCAGTGGTGATAAGACACTGACCTTCGACCGTAGGGACCTGAACATCGGAGCATTCACTTAAGCATAGAGTGGTAGAGGAATGTGTAAAGGAACGGCCAGGCACACAGTGTTGGTCGATGGCGCACCAACAGGTCATGATTGATACCAAGAACAGCCAGCTGACTGGCAAAAACGGGAATAGAGAAATAGAGTAAAGGTTGTAAGATTAAGAATGATCCCACGCATACCTCGTGAAATATACGCCAGTCATGCGGCTTGTTCATGATGATCGTTAAAAAATACTCCGAAACCTCAGCGCCATCCTAATAAAGTCTAAGATGAAGAGAAGCACAGCCCGTGTGTGGGAAGGGTGCTTAATGAGCGAAGGGAAGTGAAGTGAAGTGAGGGAATAGTGCCTGGCCTAGATACATGGAATCATTGCAACGCGAGTTGCGGTTCCAGGTTGGGGAACGGAAGAAAGAAAACATGATGTACCAGTAACGTTGAGAAGCTGTAATACGCAGCCATTTTCTTTTTGTGGCCTACCAACGACGACTGTTCTGATATTAGCTTTGACGGCATTCACATACACGGGGTATCACAATCACATACCTGTACGCTGAATCGAGCTTCGCTTGTCGCCGTTTTGGCTTGAGCCCTGACAAGGACGACTTCGGCCGTGGAGATCCTTCAGGAGTCTTTGCTTTAGTATCTCGTCCCAGCAATTCGGCTTCCAAGGAATCCAATCCTGAAGATGCAGCAGATACTGATGAGTCGCGCGACGTTGGGGTTCGATTGCGGCGGCGGCTGCGACTAGGACTGCGGCTGCGATTTCGACTCCGATTTCGACTCCGACTCGGACTGCGGCCTCGACTGCGACTTCGAGTACGGCTCCGACGACGCCCACGACCACGGCTATGATCTCTATCCCGGTCTGGTTGGTACCGGTCTATCGATCGTCGCTGGTCGTCAACGTTGCGAAATTCTGTAGGTCGACGTTCGGGACTACCTGGACGTGACCTGCGTCCTTGCGGAACGTACGAATCACGCGAGAGTGAATGCCGGCCCCGTGATCCTCTGCGGCTGGCGTCGAAAGAGCTTCTGGATCTTTGTCTCTTCAGTGGACGCTCATCAGGGGTACCGTCATCTGGGTGACCTCGTTTCGCAAGTCGTTCATGGACCTCGCCACTTTCGGAACTTTCGCTCCGAACGATCTCCTCAAGTTTTGGTGGTGGTCTTGGCGGGAGATTGGCAATGGGGTATCCGCTAGGAAGCTTGCCGTCTCGTACGAACGCGGGGTCGTGTTCGATCTTTGACCAGTACGGAGTTTCGTGTATTGGCTTCACGTATTCCTCGATATTGTCAGCTTGAACATAGTCCGACTCGATGCATTTTGCATCCCATTTTCTTGGAAGAAGCACCTCATCATTATATTCTGCCGGCAATGGCTTACCAACCTCATCTGGTGGATGACGTGGCTCTGGCTCTGCGAATATGGCATTCTTGTCCCATTCAAACTCATCGTCGACAGCCTTTTCCGGTGCTATATCTGGTCTCTGTGATGAATCAGGTCTAGGAGTTTCAACTTGAACCTTTTTAGTTTCAGGAGAATCAGCAGGCGGGCTTGACTTTGGTTTAACAGCAGTTGTTGAGGCTTTCTGATCCCCCTGTTGAGGAGACGGCGCAGGTTTAGGATGATTGGGTGTCTTGGGATCGGGGCGTCTGTTGTTGTTCTCTTGTGGCTTCTGATCCGGCCGAGAATGGGGCTGGTTCTTCTTTTGTCGATTATCGTGATTACGAGAGTGTCGGTCATTCTTTCGCTTGTTGCGATGATCTCGAGAATGGTCAGGAAAGTCCCGCCGTCCCCTACCAGGTTGACCATGCTGATTGGGCTGTGGTGGTTTAGGGGGTAGAGAGGGTTTAGGGGGCAAGGAAGCTGGCAAAGGTAATGTTGAGGCAGAATTCTGGCGTGGTAATGAGGATGAAGCTGGTCGATGTGGACGTGATGCAGGAGGCGGTGCTGGTGACGGGATAGGGGGCCGCGAAGGTGGAGGGTGCCCATACGACGGAGGCGCGCTGTGAGAGGGATAAGGGGGCGGGTATGATGGCGGCGGTGGATGCTGAGCATATGGTGCTGAAGCTGGCGGTGGATAATGGGGATAATGAGGCTGTGGAGGGTAGGGGACGTGGTCTTGACGAGGCGGAGGACCATATGCGCGCGGTGGATATGGAGGTGGATGCGCTTGAGGTTGAGGAGGAGGCGGAGGGGGAGAAGCGTATGTGCCGGGAGGCCTGGGAGGTGCTGCCGGAAGACCTGGGGGAGGACCACCATAAGAAGGTGGAGGATATGGGTTAGAGTAGCCTGGAGGTGCGTAGCCAGGTGGTGCGTAGTTAGATGCTGAGGATCCGTAAGGAGGGTATTGCGGAGGATAGGAGGGAGGTCCTCCGGGGTAGTGTGTAGGTGGAGGAGGCCCATATCCTGGAGGAGGACCGTATCGAGCCACGCTTGGTGCTGATGCTGGCACAGGCGCAGGTGCATATTTGGTGATGATGGGACCTTTAGACTTTTTGGGACCACCATGGTCTCTATTACCTCCGTGTCCAGGAGCGTTGGCGTTTCTCCAGGCTGCGAGGCCACTATTCTGAAGTTAATAGGTGAAGAGTATAAACGATAGAGACAAGCTGAGAGAGCTTGATACTTACGCAGGAGTTTCCCTGGTGGGTTCTGGACATGCAACAGTCCAATGGCCAGGGTCGCCACAGTTATAGCATCTGGCGTCGTCTGGCCGAGACTGGCCAGAAGCCGTATTAGACATGACTGATGAAGGAAAGCGTAGTTTGTGAAAGATAGCTTCTATCAGCACAGGACACTATCCTGTCAACAAACAACGGCAAGAAAAACACAGAGAAAATACCGCCGTGGTGTATATAATACTTGTGATGTTAAAGAAGAGTGACAGTGACTTGATCAGCAGAAAGTGAACGAGTTCAGGCGCGGACACGACCCGAGAGAAGGAAACAAGTTTGATGAAGCGGCCTGAGACTGGGTTGAGTAACACTGTGATACGTCTCACAGCAGGGGCCTCGGCGCGACTGAGAGGCGAAGCGAGGCGACAGAGTCTGTGTTGCTGAGACTGAAAATATGGCTTGAGAATGTTACAGTTACAGCCCAAGCTCGTTGGTGCAAGTGCCCGCGCGCGGTCGCGACATGCGAATGCGAAAGCCCCCTCCCTGGACCTTCTCAGGCAAAATATCAGAGGAGCTTCATTCAGAGATATTTGTATGTGAAGGGCCTAGAGAGAGAAGCTGTCGATGTCCGGCTGATTGATGGAGGAGTCGAAATTGACTTGACGTTGGAGCTGAAGCTCAAGTAACAGGATATTGATGGCGACGATAGTCATCCATTGGTGGATGGCGATGCTGAAAGTGTTGTCGCGTGCGCACGGGCCACTTTTGAGTCGAGGAAGGTTGAAACTGAAATAGACTTTGGGGCATTCCCGGCCGCTACAAATGCGATCAGGGCTCCTTCTTGGCATGCATTATTAGAGAAGAGCCCTATTATGCTGTCGTATTGTCTCGTTATGGTCAACTGCATTGTTCCACCAAGCTTCGCCGTGTCTGTTTTAATCGTTGACCATTATGACCAATCTATCCAAACTACGGAGCAGCTACTGCATTCGCTTCGCTTGCCCAGGATCATAGTATAAGCTTATTGTTTCATGAAACTACCTACAATCTCAATAATTGTCTAGACTCGTTGTGTACACACAGTAACCAGTTCTCAGACATTTCTCATACCATTGTCAAAAGAATGTCTACAGCAAGAACTGGGAGCTACATTACATACACCAAACAGCACGTCAGAAACACTGATTCTCTACCACAGCACAATGCTTCTTACAATATGGCCATGGATTTCTATGATCGTTGATGATCCCTACAAACTGCTGTCCTCGAACCTTGTTGACTATGCCCGTCATTCAGCTCAGCCTCACAAAGCATATCTCGTATATTACTAAGTAAGTATTGTGATATCTAATCAATCAGACTATTATTACTGGCTCTATACAAACCCATTGTCCCAATATCGAGTATCTCCATCTTAGTAGTAGTCAAAGTGTGGGGAGATGACCGGGCCTTCTTCCCGCCGAGGCACCGTCATCAGCAACGACTAGGTAAGCAAACCACCACCACCACTACCTACCTACCGATGCACAGCTAAAACATCCCACCGCCCAAAAAGCACATACCACCACCACTTCAACATCACCATCCTCCCACTGTATATGTAATCACAGAATACGGTTCTACACGCAATCGCAATTTGTCTTGTTTCATTGCATAGCGAGCCCTCGACCTTTGACCGCCCACGCGCTCGTTAATCACCAACGTCTTCGCCCTGCGCCCATGTGAACTGAACCACCTTGATCCCGATCATGTTGGTACAACCACCGAGTTCACCTTCAGACACCATCCTTGACAGGAGCCGAACCCGACACCTTCACCCTTAATGATACCGACGATCACCTACAATTCTCGATTCCCACGATAATACACATTCAGTGACCCACCCACCAGCCACATCACTACGTCGGCATCTACAGCAACGACCATCACATCCCAATATGCCTGGGCTACCTTGTAAGCGCCGCGCCGAACCGAAAGGCTTCCCAGTCTGACCTATCCTCCCCAGCATCCGTCGATCTCGACGAGTGCATCTCGCGCTTGTACAACAAGGAGTTGCTAGCCGAGTCTGTCATCGAAGCAGTCTGCGCCAAGACGAAAGAACTTCTTATGCGCGAGTCCAACGTCGTCCATGTCAAAGCGCCAATCACCGTTGTAGGAGATATCCATGGCCAGTTCTTCGACCTAATCGAGATTTTCCGCATCGGCGGCTACTGCCCCGACACAAATTATTTGTTCCTTGGTAATCGCCCGCAAAATCAGATATCGACGACGTGAGCATTTGCTGACCTTGGCGGGGTACAATAGGAGACTACGTTGATCGTGGCATGTTCAGTGTTGAAACAATATCGCTACTCGTTTGCTTGAAACTGCGGTACCCTAATCGCGTACATCTTATTCGAGGAAATCATGAGTCGCGCGGTGTGACACAGTCCTATGGCTTCTATACAGAGTGCTCGCGCAAATATGGTAATGCTAATGTGTGGCACTACTTTACAGACATGTTCGACTTTTTAACTTTGAGCGTTGTGATCAACGACCAAATATTTTGCGTGCACGGAGGTAGGCAGACTTTAGGCTTATAAAGGTGGCTAAATTAACGGGATAAATCAGGCCTTTCCCCTTCGATCCATTCAATCGACCAGATCAAAATTATAGACCGTTTCCGCGAGATCCCCCATGAAGGTCCCATGGCCGATCTCGTCTGGTCTGATCCTGACCCTGAGCGCGACGAGTTCTCCCTTTCACCCCGCGGCGCGGGGTACACTTTTGGAGCACAGGTTGTTAAGAAATTCCTGGCTGTCAACAACATGTCGCATATCCTCCGCGCCCACCAGCTCTGTCAGGAGGGCTTCCAGGTCCTTTACGACGACCGTCTCAGCACTGTCTGGAGTGCGCCCAACTACTGCTACCGTTGTGGAAACATGGCCAGTGTTCTTGAAGTGAGTGACACAGGTGAGCGTTTCTTCAACGTTTTTGCGGCCGCGCCCGAGAACGATGTCCACAAGGACCTCCAACCCGGAAACGAAAAGTCTGCCGACGGTAATGCCTTGCCAGACTACTTCTTATAAACGAATTTTATCACGAATACACACCTACAGCGCCCTGGAGCTTCAAGCCCGGGCTTCACGATATCCGCATCAATGATACCATGTCTTGGAAGCGAGCATTCACGCATTGCAACAGACAATAGACCTGCATTGCATAGCATAGACTTTGATGTATATAGGAATTTTTCTTCTCCTGCAGTATTGAAGCTCCAAACCGAGCTCAATTACTGTCTCGTCAGTGACGAGTAGATGATACGAAACAGAGCAACCACCTTTCTCCGGCCCAAATTGGGGTTTTCTTTTGCTTTATGTGAGTTTTCTGTGTAAAGTTCTTCTCCAATGTTCAGGTATCTCATTATCTCATGATGTGTGTGATATGTATTTTTGAGTTATGTCGTCGGGTCGCGCTATCAAGGTGTTGGTGTCTACCAGTCCTTGGCGATGTCGAAACTCCACTCGAACTCGAGATGCTTCTTCTTATCGTCGTCCACGAAGCTAGAGATGGCGTTGTAGTGACCACGAGCAAGCATGCCGCTAGGTGCCTCCTCCTCTTGGACTGGAGCGAATCAGTAGCTAAATCTTGACCAAACTTTAAACATGAAACTTACACTTCTTGACGTAGGTGGGCTGCTTATCAGTGTTGGGAGCATAGCTGCCAATCATCTCGGAGTCCTTGGAGACTCGGATACCCTTTCGCTTGACGACCTGGACGTAGTGGAGACCGCTGAGAATCTCGTGCTGGACCTTGAACTTGGCGCTCATGGTGAACTTGGCACCCTCCTTGATGTTGAAAGGCTTATCCTTGAGGGTGGTCTCGCTTCCGGGGGTAGAGAGATCGATGGTGACGGGAGGGCGGCCAGGAGAGTCCATGGTCAGGGAGAGAATAATGCAGACTCGGGGGTCGTTGGGGTCGGAGATGTCAGTACCACCGCCGAGACCGAGGGACTCCTTGTATCGCTGGAGAGACTCATCACCGGCGTCTGGAGTGAGTTCAATGTTAGCTTTTGAGTTCGAAGCGCAATTGCAGTGGCCGGTGCGTTAAGTGGGCAGGGCGGAGGCAGTCAATTGTAGGTGTTGGCTCAAATACAAGAGGCAGAATTGTCCTATAGCAATGACTACAGCTACAGTATAGCTTCGACCATATCACACAGCAGAGAACGGGGCTATCTCAAGATCATGCCATGTCGGTGCCATGCTGCGAGACGGTGCCACATGCTCAGGGGCCATGTGTTGTGCATATCGCAGAGCCTCACTAACGCGCCTACTGTGCAGGTCGTCCAGGGAACAGAGTGTACCTACCCATCTGCTGGTACTCAGCCAGACTCTGCTTAGGCTGAGAGAGCTTGTAGCCCTGAGTCTCCTCGGGCATAGTATCATCGTCGTGAGAAGCCATGGTGGGCGAGCGGGGCGAAGCTGATGTGCAAGAGGCGGGGTGTTGAAGAAACGGAGGATGCTATAGCGACGGATCGATACCTGAGAAGATATTAGGTTAGGTAAGAAAGTTGGAGGTAAGAAAAAGGAAAGAAGAGGAGAGGAAGGGGGGAGGAAAAAGAAGGAAGCTTACTCGTTAATCCCAGCCAAGGTCGAGGTGAGCTTTGTCCCGGGCTTGCTTGGGCTTCGGCTTGGTCCTTTGGGTCTGGGCGGGCTTTGGAGGGGCTTATGGCGGTGACGATGGAGGGGCTTCCCGTTCCCGCAGGCGGTGTTGCAACAGGTCGCAAGAGCTGGGCTGAGTTTGGGCTAGGCTAGGGGAGGGCGGTCACTGAGTGCGGTTGCTATGGTGGGCCAAGACACTTTATCCGGGTCTCTGATTGGCCCGCCATTGATCTCAGGTCAGAAATACGGAGAACAACGCCAATGGACGTTGCCGATTCTTATGGAGAATGCTTCGTTCAGGGGTTCAATGTGAGACTGGACTCGAAGATGAGGCTTATTTTGTGATGGTTTATGGCGGCTGTGGCTCTGAGTGTCTGGAGTTTTCAATAGTAATGTTTGAGGAGGTGAGTAATGATACATTGAATAAAATGAGGTATTGTGTTGCTATATCCATTGCTTTTGACGTAGCTTGAGAGATAGGTAGGAGGAGAGGGACCTTGGTTCGTGGATCATATCAGATCAAAATCGATCGAGGGCATCGCGATTTGGGTGTGAATAGACGAGGCTCGTATTCTGTTAGGCCACCACCCTCCTCCTATTAGCAAGTATGTTACTTGTTGACGCGGCCTTTATACAGTCCCCTGAATTTGTTAGTACACAGGACTTTCGATTACAAGTATTACTGCTTCTCATTACTTGATTTCGTGGGCAAGGTTTTTAACACCTTGTGGTGGGATGCTCATCGGACGAAGAGGTAAAGAATTCATCTTGACATTAGGTGACAAGGGTATCTTGCATCTGTACTCCCGTCTCTGCTCCACGGTAAGCTTTGAAGTGTCTCATTCCGATTCACGAAGCTCTTCCTGACCAGATCATTGTACCTATATGATCTGAGCCTCCTATAGGGTAAATTGGTCACGGCCTGCTCAGAGGTTGAGATAAGACCGTGATTTAAAACCTTCAAGTTGCCCAACTTTGAACGCGTGGACCAGTCGGTAATGGACCCATAATCCACAAACCTCCGCGTTGCTGTCATGCAAGTGAATGCACGTCGACAGATTTGAGACATGAGCGGCAATAGATAATAACGCAACCCAGTTATAGCCAGTCTCACAGGGCACTCCATGTAAGTCTCGCCTGTCACCACAGATGGGCAAGCCAAACCTGGGGTTGACTCGGAAGCAGTTACAGGAATTATCTGAGCTGAACCATATATTAGCTTGAATTGCTTTTGGATGATTCCCTTATTCCCAGCCAAACTCTATCGATCGCTCTGAGGTCTGTTTTAGCTGTCAGATCTAGTCGATCAGCCGAGAAAAACACTGGCACACAGAGCACAGCGTTACCGTGCTTGACGCGCGATAAGTGACATGGTGCGTCTCCATTCGTCAGAGTCGCAGATGTTAGCAGCCCATCTATCACCGAACCCAGTAGAGACGAGTGAGACTACTGTACCTACAGAGGTCACACCCATCCATCAGACAGTGTCTTCTTCAGTGACCTCACTAGGTTAGCTCATTCAGCCCCATGCATGTCGTGTGTCTCTTGCTAAGGTTGTTTCGCTTCCCTCTGAATCCCGTCTCATGGCGCAACCGCAATCGCAATCGCAAATCTGAAAACCACAACCCGAACCCATGTGCATTTCCCCGCGTTCTGAAAATGAACAGTCGCCTGTTCGCGCGCGCCGGGCACAGCGAGGTCCAGGGGGACCCTAGGGACTTGTTGGGGGTGTGGTTCACCCTGAAGATCGACGACTTTGGTTGGCGCTGGACCTGTTGGGCTGGTTGCTAGGGGCGGCAGAAGAATTGCTGGCTGGCTCTAGAACAGAATTTCCCCACGTGCACTCCTGGCTAGTAGCAGAAATCCAAGACGACATCATGGACTGTTAGACTGCAGAAGCGATGATAGGCGGCTGATAAGCTAGACTGTAAATCACGTAGCTTTCGACGCCGTTACTTGGCTCAACAAATAAAGAAATAATCAAATTAAACGAGCATCGGCGACTAGATCTGCCGGTAGCAAAAAAGAGGGACGTGAAGAAGGGCTATTTCGTCGGTACGTACTGTTGCTTCGCTGGCAGGGGGAACTCATCGGGTAATAGCGCTAAGTCAGGTGCACGGTAAAATGGGGGTAATTTGGTCGAATATTAACGAGCAACCTCTAACTTGCACTGCTTCACCACCCAAATTTCAGTACCAATCTATCTCGCAGCTCTCCACTTTCTGGCATCACGCTAATCTCCTTTTAGCCCAACAGGGCCGTCTGCTAAATCCTCGACGCTATCGAGCATCTAATTTGCGCGACTGGTTTCCCGTCTCGTCTCAGCTCTTCCCTCGTCTCGCTCGTCGACTTTGTCGCGATCCTTTTTCCACCCTCATCTACTTCATCTTGCTTTTCTTTCTCTCCCCCCTTATCTCTACGGCATAGGCACCGTTAGATTTGTCTACCTCTTATCAATTTTACTGCCTGAAGCGCCATTGACGTTCTTCAAGGCCTCTTTCTTCTGCTGAATGAATTAAGCCCTGCATTGACACGGTACGTCCAAAGCCAAATCTACTACGGCCCGTTTCCGCCGAAGTCGAGCCCGCGCCTGGAAACGACCACCTTTCATCACAATTGATCACTGACGCGACTTTTTATCCTTACATAGGCTCTACTACCTAATTTATCATCATCTGCGCCCGGGTATACGAGCGCAAACACTGCCGCCCGTCGCGATTCCGCTTCGATTTGTCGATCTAGAGGTACTCCAAATCGGTCGCGCCGCGCCGTAGCATCATACAAAATGGCCTCCCATCAAGAGCGCACACTGCCCTCCAAGCACAACCCTCTCATGACAGAGGACGTTCCGGATTGTAAACACTCCCAAGCTATTTCAGTGTCGCGAGATCGCAAGCTTACAATTGTTTCTAGACACGGATTTGGTCGCGCGTAGACGTCTCGGACAGACTAAGCTGACACCTAAGATGGCCGGCACTGGTGAGACTGAGCAGGCGGCTCTTGGCGTTTTTGATTATGCGCATCTCCGAGCCCCCCTTCCCAAGGGTATCGTCTCGGGCATCTTCAAGTCTAGCCCTAGCAGCTACTTCTTGATGCGCCGCAGCTTCGACGGTTACGTCTCCGCGACAGGCATGTTCAAGGCGAGCTTCCCTTACGCTGAGGCATCTCACGAGGAGGCGGAGCGCAGGTACATCAAGTCTCTGCCGACTACGAGCCCCGAAGAGACTGCTGGCAATATTTGGATCCCCCCGGAGCAGGCTCTCGTCCTCGCCGAGGAGTACAAGATTGCTCCTTGGATTCGGGCTCTCCTCGATCCCGCCAAGATTACCGTGACCACAACTCCAGACTCATCTTCGCCCAAGAAGAGCATTACCGCCCCTCCCAAGTTTGATCTTGCCAAGGCGTCGCATCCCGTGCTGGCACCTCCCACCCCCTCGACTATTCCTCGAAGCACTCGATCTCGTCGTTCTGCTAGTCCCACGAAGAGCACCAGGCGTGCCCCTGCCTCGCCTCGAAAGCGAAGCACCCGCGCCAAGGCCGAGACCGTCGAGACTATCACTGAGAAGACCGATCTCGTAAATGGTGTGGCTGAGACCGAGGCCAAGGTCGAGGAGACCAAGCGCGAGGAAATTGTTCTCCAATCAACAGAGTTTGAGCCAGCTATCGTTCTGGAACCCAGGGAAGAGGACCCGAAGGTCAAGGTCCACGTTGAGGAGGACATCGTCAAAGATGAGGACGGCGTCGAAACTAAGCGCACAATCACAGAAGTTGAGCTTCCCCTGCCCACAGCTGGCGAGCCTCCAACTGCCGAGGAGATTGCCCAAATGATGGAAGCAGCCAAGGAGATGGTCCAGAAGACCAAGGAGACCGAAGCCAAGGCTGATGAGGAACAAGACGAGGCCGATGAGGCCCCAGGCTCAGCCAAGAAGAGCAAGCGAAAGGCTGCAGATATTTCCGTTGGTGACAAAGACGGCGAAGAGACAGAAAAGACACCAGAGGAGCAGCCCAGGTCGAAGAAGGTCAAGACCGAGACAGAACTGAGGAAAGAGAAGGTGAAGAACCGGGCGTTACTTGGCCTGGGTGCCACGGTTGCAGTTGGGTGAGTACAGATGTATTTCTGACTGAAGAATCCATGCTAACGTTTGACAGCGCGATTGTTCCTTGGCTTATGAACTTTATCTAAGCAATGAATTGTATGTCATGTCTTCGGAAATTAAACTCGGTCTTTTAGTAGGGACCTGAATAAACAAACCCACCACGACCATGGCTGAGATATGGGACGGGCGGACTGGATTGGATCGGCGCGGCAATTGTATTTCTTGGTTGTTTTCTTCATTTTCTGTCGTTGTGTCTCGTTTTAACGGAATCACTACCCAATACTCACTCTCACCCTGTTGCTGTAATGAGATGTCGAGAGTGGCATCTTGTTGAGACGACGCCCTTTCGATGTCTCTACTACTGCTATACTTACCTTACCTTACCACATCACTATACCATACCTTACCTTACCAACTTTGACCTTTTCTCCTTTTTTTTATCAACTTTTATTACCAAAAACTTACTTCACCCCCCCTTGCACATACCCCTTTGACTTGGGAGATACCAATGCTAGATGAGTTGGTAGAGACCGAGTCTTTTGCTTGATAGGTTCTGTTTGCTTGACTGGAGATTTCGGAACGACAGAGATGGAGATGGACATGATGAGGGACGTCCATATGAGAGGGGATGGTAGAGTTGACTGCGTCGACTCTTGAGGATTATGTATGAAGACGTGGAAGTAAAATAAAATGAAAATTAATATGATAAATCGTGTCTCGGTGAAGCAAGTCATGATGAATTTGTAGTGAGCTTGCCCCAGGTTTTAGTGTCTTTACTCCCTGAACATCCCCCGCAGCTCAGGTGGCTGCACAGGCTTCCCCGCATCGTCCCTCCGCCTTTTTAACCGTCTCCAACTCGGTCATCGTGGCGTGTCATAGGGAGAGACTCTCCCTGTAGACAAACTCGGTAGGTCTGGCTAAGTACGGCAATGGCCGGCTGTGATTCGGGTAACCAATCCCCCACACGCCAACCTCGAGTGAGATCCAAGACTTTTTGTTTGTTATTAATGGGTTATTTCTTGTATCCTATCCTGTTCAGCTTCTTATTTAATATTATATACCTTGTTCCAGTTCACACATTGGTTGTGATCTTGTGAGGGAAACTTGAACTATCCATCGTCTTATACTCAGCTATCATGAGACCTTCAACGCGGCTTGGAAGCCTGATGCTTCGCCGAGGCTTTGCCAGTTCGGCACGACGACTAGACAATTACGGCTTCATCGGTCTAGGACAAATGGTACACATGTCCTTTCAGAGAATGGTTGTCAAATACTTACACAGAGTATAGGGCTATCAAATGGCAAAGAACCTCCAGTCAAAGTTGAAACCATCAGACAAGGTGTCCATCTTTGATATCAACCCTGAATCTATGAAGGGCCTGGAAACAGAGATGAAGGCTGCTTCGACAGGAGCTCAAGTTGAGTTGGCAGCCAGCGCATTCGATGCCTCCAAAGATGCTGTAGGTCATGCCACTCACTGTGCCTGTAGATGTCTCACTGACACATCTAGGACACAATCATCACTGTACTCCCAGAGCCTCAGCACGTCAAGGGCGTATATGAATCGATCATCACTTCATCTCTCCCGAAAAAGGACCGTGTTTTTATCGACTGTTCAACCATTGACCCTTCAACATCTCGCCAGGTCGCCAAGACTGTGTCTTCTGCTGGGCAAGGCACATTCGTTGATGCACCCATGTCTGGTGGTGTTGTAGGCGCAACTGCTGGAACGCTTACCTTTATGCTCGGTGCTTCACCCAACCTCATTCCTCGTCTCGAGCCCGTCCTTCTCCTCATGGGAAAGAAAGTCCTCCACTGCGGTGACCAGGGCGCAGGCCTGTCCGCCAAATTGGCCAACAACTACCTCCTGGCTCTGAACAACATCGCTACGGCAGAAGCCATGAACTTGGGTATGCAATGGGGTCTGGATCCTAAGAAACTGGCTGGCGTTATCAATGTGAGCACGGGACGATGCTGGCCCAGTGAGGTCAACAACCCTGTTGCCGGTGTTGTAGAGACAGCACCAGCCAATAGAGATTACAGGGGAGGATTCGGTATATCTCTGATGAAGAAGGATCTGCGACTGGCTATGGTGGCTGCTGAGGAGGCTGGCGCGAGAATGGAGCTGGCAAAGACGGCATTTGCAGTTTATGAAGCTGCTGAAAAGGAGGACAAGTGCAAGGGACGGGACTTTTCTGTTGTGTACCGATATTTGGACGGTAAGGAGGAGCAGTCATGAAACAGTGAGCAAGGAAGAAAGGGGTGACGACGCATGGCTCGTATAGGTTGAGTCGAGTTGGTGTCGTCGATTCGTCCGTGCTCGCTCCTGAAGAAAAGAATAGACCAAGAAATAATAATACTGTAAATCCATGACATGTGATAGCCACCAAAAGGGCAGTGTTGGGTGTTGCAGTAGAGATAAAGCTTATAAGGTATCATCAGATCTACCTAGGTACCTAACGTAGATCTCACCATGAGACAATCGGATCGGTAGCATAAAACGTTCCGAAGTCCTACAACCCGACACTACAGATCGTATCTGCTGTTGTAATTTGTATGCAACAAAAAAAAAAAGGGTCGGCCGCCAAGTGTAATACACCTCCATAAACACAACACGGACACGTTCCAGAAGGGGAAATGCCCTGTAAGCGAGCAGCAGAACCCGAGGCCCAACGCGAGAAAAGCGAGAAAAACGAGGCAAACAAGCATTTCCAACGTTGAAATAAGCGGATCTGCACCCGGGAATAGACATAACCGGGCCTTGGCATTCGCATCACCAACAGTTAACGAGTTAGTCTACCTAAGTCACTCGAATTTAACCTACGAGTTAACCACCTTTCCCTCTCTAGTGCTCTGTATTTTCAGTGCTTAATGTCCCGAAGTCCGGGTGTTGTGTTGGCCCCGTAAACCCCGGAGGAATTGGGTCGTAATGAGAAAAATGAATGGATCGAGTCAGCAACGATGGATCTTGCTTGTATGGATGTATTGGATGCGCCTACCGTAATCATATTCGGCCTATCTTTACACCTTGTTCACTCTCTTCTTCCTCTCATTCTTTACCCTTCCTCTTCCTCTTCCTCTTCTTCTCTTTTCGTCCTTCTCTTCTAATTTCTCCATGAAACAAGGATCCTTTCATACAAGCGGGTCGCTTGAAACGAATCCATAAGTCATCATCATCATCATCATCATCATCATCATCATCATACACAGACCAAGAGGCAACTACTGGTGACACTCACTGTCCTCTCTCCATTTAACATTGCTCGGCATTTCTTCACCTTTTACATATCGAGTACTGCACTGAGATAGCTTCGAAATGTACGAATTATACGCTCGTCGACCGGCGAGTTTCGATGACTGCACCGATATCACCGCCCTCTGTCCTGTCAGCGCAACTGTCCTCGGTTATGTTCCCAACAAAGGATCCAGTTACTTCTTTACAATCTGTTTTGCGATTCTGTTCCTATCCTCTGTAGGATTGGGTGTTTGGAAGAAGACATGGACATATGCTGCGACTCTGGGAGCTGGTTTATTGCTAGAGACAATTGGTATGACGGGAACTCATTTAAAGGAAGAGGAAGAAGGATAAAGTGCTAACAAGCTCAGGGTATATCGGCCGTATTCAGATGGACCCTAACCCATGGAACTCGTCAGCCTTCCAGACCCAAATCTGCTGCATCATCATCGCCCCGACCTTCATCTGCGCCGCCATCTACCTCACCCTCAAGCACGTCGCCCTCGCCCTCAACCCAGATCTCTCACGAGTTCATCCTCGTTGGTATCCGCGCATCTTCCTCCCAGCCGATCTCTCATGCCTCATCATCCAAGCTATCGGCGGTGGTGTCGCAGCAGCAGCAAAGCGCAACCAGCCCGACCTCGCTAGGAACGGTAACAGGACCATCATCGCCGGTGTCGTCCTCCAGGTCATCGTGCTCCTCGCCTTTGGAGCCATGGGCACTGATTACTACTTACGTGTGAAGAAGTACCTCCACAGCTCAGAGGCTGCCCCTGAGTCGCTGCGAGTCTGGCAGGATAAGAAGTTCCGCATGTTTGGCTTTGCTGTTTCAGGCGCCTATTTCGCCATTCTCACTCGTTGCATTTACCGGTTAGTGCAGGATCCTCGTTTATCCTATCTTCTTACATCAGCTGACGCGAGAAACTGTAGAATTGCCGAAATGGCCGGTGGTTGGGGCAATCATATTATGCAGGATGAGCCTAGCTTCCTCGTCCTCGACAGCTCCCTTGTTCTCATCACTGGCTTCCTACTGACGGCCTTTCATCCTGGGATTTTCTTCCCTCAGATGGCTGTCACTATGCAGCGCACTAAGAAGACCGAGGCTGAGACACCTGCTGAATCTTCCAGCGAGGAACGAAAAGTCGAAAACTCCCAGACTGCTTAGAGGGATATGGAATAGATTAGGATAGGACATAGGAACATGTATCTGTCGTTTGGTCTTGTTTGAACTAGGGCGCGAGGTATTGGAACGATATTAGATCAGATCTTGTAGACTCGGACGAGTCCAAGTTAAGCGTGTCTTGATAATGCTTTCTATCGATATTAGGATTTGACTAGTCTATCGGCTTCTCCATCGTCATCGCTATCAGTCTCTTCTTCCTCGTCATCATCCTCCTCCTCATCGTCTTCCTCCTCCTCCGATGATTCTTCTTCTGTCTCTTCTTCCGTCTCCTCGCTTTCTTGCTCTTCTTCTGCAAGCCAGTCATCCAGAGTCTTCGCACCCACTGCTTCACCCGTGCCTGTCCCCGTGCCGTTTGACCTGCTAGGCATGACTGTCTTGGCCGCCTCGTCGAGTCTTTCACTGGCAGGTAGTGTACTTCTTTCTACGTCGTACCTAGAACTTTGACTGCCTTCAGGTTCTCGAAGTCGGCGATCAGGCTGTTTCCCTTCCTCGACCCAGTCAGGTAAGGGTTCATAGCCCCGAAGACCATGAATACCACCGCCACCTGCAAGCACTAATGTGGAAGAACCCAAGAGGAATCCCTTTCGAGATTCCGATGGACTCGGGGCATGTGGTGCTGGCTTCTCAGCAAGGAGCATCAGCGTCGCCAGCTGAGGAACTGCAAGAAGTGATCGATACATTCTCGCGCGATCACGGAGATCGAACGATGTATCATATCTCACAAGTAGCAGGACGTACTCCCACAACCTCACAATAGGATGAGTATCTGTATCCATAGGCGGGTCCTCCTCAGCATCCCTCTCCTTCTCAGCTTCAGTCCTTCGGTTAAGGTGGTGGAGGTAAACCTTGGCCCCCAAGAGCAGAATCTGTTGCTTAGCCACTGGCGATTCATTAGAAAACTCCTTGAGCAAGATGCGAAGAACATCTGGCGCAATGTTGTCCTCTCCATTCAGACCTGAGAATTCACCCACAAGCCAGATGATTGTAGCACGGGCCTGGGGGTCAGTTGCAGAGTCGAGATTCTTTGCTAGGCGAACAACTGTCCCAACATGTCCCTGGACGTCCTGCTGTATCAGGTGACGAATGACTGTCAGTGACTCGGCAGCGAGGGTGCCGTCCAAGCTAGTGATTTGACCGAGGAGTAACTTCAAGCATCGAGGAGCCGCAGAGGTATCAGTCTGGGCGCAGCGGCCGATAGCGCGCACCGCCTCTCGAACTAATGCCTTGTTTGTTCCTTGCGAGAAGTGTTCAAGTTCCTTCAGAATAAGACTTTTAACATGTGGTGGGCTGTGAGGGAAGATGATCGTCAGGATCTCCAACTTCAATTCCCACACAGGAGCAGTATCGGTGGCTCGAACCAGGAAATGGCTGGCATATTTGACGAAATCAGTGGGCCGAAGAAGACAGACAGAGACGATGTTGAAAAGAGCAGTCTCCTGGATATCCTGAGCTCCACGAAGCAAGGCGATCAAGGGGCCAATAGCCTGCTTCACGTACTCGGGTGTTCCGATATCGACATAGCACCGAGTAACAGCGACAACAACACCGGCATTCCTACTCTGCAGTAAAGGTCTGATGCCATTTAGCAGCAATGCCAGATCCGGGTCAAGTACTGAAGACCCCTGACTTCGACTACCTTGTCGCGATTCCCCGTAGAAGTCGTCCACTCGCTGATCCTGGGAGTTTTCGGTCGATTCGTCTGGCGACTCTGTCCTCCGAGGGAAGCACTTTCGCGCATAATACATCATCAGTCGTAGTGTTGCCAATTGACTCCATTCGTCCATATCCACCACTTGCTTGATCAGTGTGCGATAATGCTTGTGAATAAGGTCTATCCGGTCGGGACAAATCTCGAGGAAAGCTGATACGGCAGCTCCAGCGACATAGTATTGCTTGTCGCCCAGCAGAGTCGATAAGTAATCGATCAACTGCGGCGCTTGACTCGGGTCTAATCGATGACATTTCGGAATTGCGAGGGCAGCTGCTTTCCGCACGTAGGGGCTCATGTCGGCCACACCCTTCTTGATAGCGAGAGATACAATCTGGCTGATGACGGGGACTCGAATTCCGGACATGGTCTTGAGGGCGAGAGCTCGGACTTGGGGGTTCTGATCGGATAAGGATTTCTGAATAGTGTTGATGGAGAGGAGTGCGAGATCGGGCTCCTGTTCGGCATGGTGGATGAGGTATATGTAGACAAGCTTCTTGATTTCGATGTTCGGCGAGGCGACATTCTTGACGACAGAAGAGAAGAATGGTAGAGTCTTGTGGTTTCGATACATCATCTGCCTCATCGGAATTAGCGCCAAGATACGCAGACAAGAGAACAACATCACGCACCGCCATAACACGCCGTAGACCCTCGAGGACCTCGCGCTCGTTCCTGCTATCCAGCAGCTTCCTCATCTGGTTTCGATCCAAAGGTTTTGAGCTCGTGCGCGCACCACGCGTCGCCTGGGCAGCATCGAGGGTGAGCTCCCTCGCTGGATGATCAGTCAGTTTTAGCGACAGATGAAGCGGTCAATAAGGAGACGTACCGGTCTCCATGAGACTCGAGATCCTCGCTATTGACTCCATTGCGCGAGCGAGCCTTTTTCGAGCTTACGCCGCGTTTGAGAGGAGGGAGAGCTTTTGACGGCGGATTTTAGTGTAGGTGTTTGAGATGACGTTGAATGATGGTTGCTGCGGACTGTGGAGGTGGAGGGGCGTGACGACTGGTGGGGAGCTCAGCTACCTGCCATTAGATACCACAGCTGCATCTTATACTAACAGATCGATCTAAATACTAAGAACAATGCTCAATGCCATTATAAGAGTCATTCCACAAAATATGTCATCAGAGTTTAAGCACGCGATCCAAACTCGCTACTCAACTCTCCTTGCTGAACCTTCTTAACATGAGCTACCCTGGATGAACTCAATGGTAACACCACAACCATGGAATCTTCTCAACCCATCGTCATCTCACCACAAAGTCCTTCCGAGCTTCTATCATATATCATATCCTACCATAGATATCCTTCGACAATAATAATCGGCTCGTCAAAGGAAGAGTTTCAGAGCTCACTCATTGAGGAGATCACACACCATCTCACTCTTCAAGCGGAACAACTACAACTCGATGATTCTGGAGACTCAGAAACGCAACCTTCTCATCATCTCCTAAAAGCACCGCTCTATCAAATAGCCATATCCCGTCATATTAGGTTTCTATTTGCGCCAACCGTCACACATCTACGTGCCTTTCTCTCCGTCTTTACACCAAAGGATTCACCTATACCGGCACCACCAAACTACACACCCGCTTCTCGACCACCACTGCTTCTAGTTTACGGACTCCTAGCTCTTCACAGGGACGCAAGCGAATGGTCTGCACAAGGCATCGGCAACTCAGCTGCTCTTTTAGTCGATGCTGCCCTACGAAACGAGTTTAGAGCTGCCGTCATTGAGCCAAAAGGGATAGGAGGACACCACACCCTGGATCACCTTGGAGGAGAGATGATACCTCTGTTGAATGGCACATCGAGAAGAGACGATGGATCATGGAGTGGGCGGACTGTCAGTGCTAAGCAAGTCCTGAGTCGATGGTTCGAATTCGATAATCGTGAACAAGAAGGTTGAATTGTTTGGGCGCTCTCATGAGAAACTTGGCCATTTTTTATCTTGTCAAGTGCACGATCTACTCGACCATGTCTTCAGTACTCAATGAATATCAAATCATTATTTTCACGATGGAAATACTCATACTAGGCGTCAACATTAACATATCATCATTACAGCCTTCAACGCCAGCCCATGGTATCTAAGGTATCCCAAATATTGCCGCCAACCATAACATGAAGCATGACAAAAGCACAGAAGCCACCGCAAGACAGACTTAGGCAATAGCCTGCTCCATCTCAGCAATGTACAGCTTGATGTGTGCCTCCATCTTGCGGTACTCTTCATGCGCACTATGAACCTCATTCTCAATGTTCTCCTTGAGGTCAAGCATCTATGCACATGTTAGTAATCAGTCACTCGTAGAGAACGTTGCGGGACAGCTTACCTTTTTCTCAGTCTGCTCGATTCTGACACGTCGAACCTCCATCTCCTTACCCTTCTCAGTCTGTTCCTCAGTGAGCTGCTTGTGCACTGCCCGGAGTTCATGCATCTTCTCCTTCGCCTCCCTCGCCTTCTGGTTGCTCTGCTCGCGGAGTTTCTCTGTCCTCTCTGTCCATTTGCTCAACTGACGTTTCAGCATAGTCTCGGTGCGCTCGACTTCACGCGCGTTGTTACCGCGCTCTGAGAGAGCATCACGCTGCTTTGCATTGCGTGCTAGCTCTTCCTCTTCCTTGGCCAGCTCCGCAGCGATCTCATCGAGGATCTTTATGCATGACGCAACATCTGTCGAGACGACTGAGAATGAATCCGTTGAGGTCTGCAGGGCTCGTGCTCTTCGGTCCAATGCGTCGATGTGTGATTTATCGTTGTTGAGAATTTCACGCAGCTCGGCCAAGTTCTCCTGAAGATCTGAGGCGCTCTGGAGCACATAAGGTCGCAGCTTTGTGCTTTCCTGTTTCAAGGTAACCTTTTCGTGCGTCTTTTGTTCCAACGCTGCAGTGAGCTCGCCCTTCTTCTGTTTGGCCTCTTCCAGCCGTGCGGCAACCCTTTCCTGGTTCCGTCGAAGCTCTAGCAGTCTCTTCTTGAGCTCCTCGTTCCTCATCGTCTTTTCTCGGACCTGCGCCTCCATTGCTTTGCGGTTATGTTTCATATCTTCCAGGCGACCCTCGTTCTCCTGGTTCTCGGCATAGAGCGTCTCAATGCGTGTCTTTGTCGACTCTGCCTTGTTATAGTACTGGTCGATAACAGCCGTTTGTGACTCGCGGAATCGAACAAAATTGATTAGGTAACTGAAGATCTTGACGAGGCGATCATATGTCGGCTTATACAAGTCGTTGAAGCTGAAATCGGTGATGCCGCACTCAAACAACAGCCTGCGCAGCGACACATAAAAGCCCATCAGGTTACGAGTGTCCGGAGGGATGACATCCGAGTATTCTCCCACAATATCCTCGGCGGCAGCTCTCATGGCCGGCTCAACAGTCTCACGCGTCGCATTGAGGAGGAGTTCGGCGAACCACTCAAAGATTTGCTGAACATGTGCTGCATTTGGCTTCTGAAGATCTGCGACAGTGAAGTTGATGCCGATGTCGGTGATGCAGCCAACGATTTCGCGGTCAGGGAGACGCATAAAAGCATCTGCTTCTTCCTCCTTTTTTCGAGTCCGCGATTGCTGCTGCGAGGTTGGAATAATGCTCATTCGCGGATTGTACGCCATGGTTGCGGTTGTGCTTTATCTTGTCAAAATCGTATTCTCTCTTTTGGCTGCGCTTTGGCTTAATTAGTTTGTCGCGATTACTGGAAAGCATAAACACCATGTACGTGTTGCCGTGGAAACATAGAGAAGTGGTATCACGTGATGACATATCGGGGCCCAACTCAGTTGTGCCAGTACCTACTAATTGTTTCAGTAAATGGAGATTTGTGCAGATCTTAAGACAGTGGCTTCAGACAAACACGATATATGTGTTTGATGAACGATGTCTTTACTATTGGTTATGTTTAATTTCGTCCCTAATTAGCAAAGTTTTATCTAAATCCTGTGACTGATTTCGATCGATATCTGACGACCATGACTGATAACTCAGCAGGCACTCGAGGGATGCCATGTTGAGTTTCTGATACTATGAGTGATGACTCTGAGCTTCCTGCCCTCATCTGATCTCGAAATAACACTTTCGAAACCCAAAGAATGCTGTAGGAAGAAGCACTGACATGTTCCACATAACTGCTATCAGTGACGTTCGCTCGTATCACTAAATATAGTCCAGATGGCCACCAGCATATCATTGGCGAGAATCGACTGGTGATCCTTGACTATTCTGCACTTGTTCGTCTCACTTGCAGCCGTCAACTCGTCTCTGTGCATTTGCAACCTGTGAATTAATCACTCAACTCGCGTGGCTTGGTAATGCAGCAGATGCAAGCACAGTGAAGCAAATTGCCGTGACATCTAGTCTCTGCGGCACGCAGTGAACAGTCGCTTAGTATGGTTAACACTACCTCATATAGCGACTCACTGGAATAAACCCAACTTGGGTTGTCAGCCGTTGATCAAAACTCTTCCGAGGGAACGTGTTTGTAGGCCAGTTCCTCAAAAGTCTTCGTCCCACATTGCCAGCTACTTCTGTGTACAATATCTCATCCACGTGGCGGTACGCCAGCACGCCCCAGGACGTTTCATTACTTTTTGATCAATCGAGGTGGTGCCCCTGAAACGAAACCACCATCCTCTTACTCTGGCCTGTCTGCTTGTCCAGGGGGTTAAGAAAGCCCGAAGTCTGAGTAAAAAAGCAAAAACTTTGGGACGTTGAAACATGAGATCGGTTGGCTCAAAGCCTAGTCCCCAGAACCAATACTCCCCAATGAAACAAGTGCTCAGGGGCATCGAAACGCTGGGACAAATCTGCCCCGATCGACTCTGACAAAGGAGCAAACCTAATCTTCGCTTCTACCGAAGAGATCAAACCCGTTTACTCCGTACTGGTTCAAGAACTGATTGACTCGCTGACGTTGACCGCAAATAGTCCTTGGCTCGGAAATTGGCCAGAAACCTATTGGAATAGGCAACGGGAAGCGACATATATCTTGTTGTACGACACAAAGATCCCCCCGCTATTGGCCACGACCAAGAAGAAGCCTTCAGAAATCCTCTTCATGCATGACTTGACATGCATGGTGCCTTGCGGAAACCTTTCTTGGACAAGGAAACCCCGAGTAACTTGCTAAGGTTACGGAGGGATGGGCCGCCCTTTGTTTCCGTGGCGGGCGCCGGGAGCGCTAAGATTCACCACTGTTAGACAAGGATCCCATCCTCTACTGCATGATTGAGAGTGTCGCTGACATTGCAAGATGGGACTGTTGGATGTTGCAAGCTTGAAAGGCGATCTCTCGGTGATCATCTTGTGGTTTCTCAGCCGTTAGGATGCGATACAGACATGGCACACGATTCAGGATCAGCGACCCAACTGTAGTTTCATTGGTCAATCTGAAGTTCGGGTGAAGTCAAAAAGAACCCTCTGGTCCCTGATTCGCAACGTTCATCAGGCCCAAGCTCCACGTTGCAACGGTCGTGCTGCGGGAGTGCTATAGTACAGACTATGTACCAAGGCATGTTCCGCGATAGACTGGGCAAACTTGCCGACCATGCCACGGTGATGTATGACAAGTTCATTGTGTGACGTCGAATATGTAACTTCGACTCTCATCAAGGCCAAGCTGAACCGGCCTGACCTGTCTGCTTGTGTGATTGAAAGAAATCCTGAAATGTAATTGATCGACATAGAGCTTCAATTCGGTAATTGTTGACCTGAACCGCTCGTGTAATCATGACGCTCATTTCCATGTCGAGGTCGGATCGACAGTAGGAGGAGACGAAAACTTGGTTCGGAAATAACCCTACCCATGCTTGCCATGTTCTTGATAGAAGTCAAGGATTGTAAATGGTGCCTCTGGGGACTCAAAGATTGATAGAAAGAAGCAGAAAGATCCCAGGGATCAAAATAGGTATGGTAAATGACCGTATTGTTACCCTGCCACGTCAAAAAAAAAAAAAGCTGGCTATCCTAACTATGTACTTGATAGCCTTGTGGCTTCGTTAAGCTCCTGGTGATAGACAGGGGATGTATCGATCATCACATTCCAAAAGCCCGTACAAGATCCAACGGCTAACAACAAGCAAGCTGCTAAGATTCAGTCAGCACTTTCTAAGCACCGGCTGGCGGATACGAAGGCCCCAAAGGCAACGAGAAATCAAGTGTCGGGGTTTAAGAGAAGCGACTTCGTACTTTGAAAAGAAAATACGAAGAAACACGCAGGGACGGCGTAGACAGGCGCAAGTTGCATCAAGACCCATGCGAGGTACATAGGTATCGGTACCTGGAAAACGGACGAGAGAGGCTTGGCAAAAAGACTCAGGTACAGGATACCTGATGTCGTCTGCCAACCCAGCCTAACCTCTCCAACGTGCTACGTACAGCAAATCAATTCGCAGCTACAGCATTGGGCTGGTTAAGGTAGTTTCGAAACATTGCTTTGTCCAAGTCAAGCGCTCAAGCTGAAGGGGGCGGAAGAGGGAGGGAGCAAGCACTGTGGTCTCTCGAGACTCTCATGCGCCGGACGGTTGTGAGACATGACTGAACAGCTGCAGTAGTCACCTAATAGCAAGGGGCGGGGGATTTTGGCGTGACAGCCTCGATCGCATGGCGGCGAACAAGATCTTCGGACAGGGCGAAACGATGTCCCCTGTGGCCTGTGTCGAACTAGCGTCCAACCCAATATCTGTTGATAGTCCTCAGGGGGCCAAGAAAACAGCGAACCTTACTGTGGGCTGTCAAAATAAACTCAGCAAAAGCCATCCTAAGCTTAGGCTATATCACCTAAGTCTTTTTGTCATTTAGGATCGAGGTCCTGTGTTTTCTTTCCTCCCCTAGATAGTGCAGTACTGCACTCAATCGTGTGGCGGGTGTCGTGAACCACGAGACCAGATATCGCGATTCATCACGGCGGCGGGAGGAAAA